CTAACTAATTAAATAACTAATCTGTAACTAACTAATCAAGTAAAACAGATTAACTACAATTAGTTGGATGAACTGTGTCCACGTGGCCATGAGCTGAATCCACTTCTGATTTGGATGTCAACATCCCCCCGCAAGTGGGACTGTAAATATTCTGAAGTCCCAACTTGGAAAGGTTGAGATGAAATGGATTGGCAAATAATGCCTTTGTAAATATATCGGCTAATTGGTCAGATGATGATACGGGAAGCAGATGAATGAGCTTCGTAATAATTTTCTCGCGAACAACGTGACAATCAATCTCCACATGCTTCGTTCTCTCATGGAAGGTTGGATTGTGTGCAAGATAAATAGCCGAGGCATTATCACAGTAAACAGAAGCAGGGTGTGTTGGGGGAATACGCAGATCACGCAGCAAATAAGTGACCCATTGTAACTCACATGTGAGGCTAGCTAGAGCCCTGTATTCAGCTTCACAAGAAGAACGGGAGACAGTAGTTTGTTTTTTTGATTTCCACGAGATCAAAGAGGTGCCAAGAAAAACACAATGACCCGTGACGGACCGTCTGCTGTCTAGGCAGCATGCCCAATCCGAATCAGAGTAACCGGAGAGGTTCAGGTTGTTGGAGGCAGGGAAAAATAAACCCATATTTTTCCATTCTTTTTCCCTTTCTTGCAATCATGGCAAACCCTGATCAATTCTTTTTCCCTTTCTTGCAATCATGGCAAACCCTGTTCAAAATCAACCTTCTGACTTGATTCTTGTTTCTCCACTGTTCAATGGAAGAAATTACCACACTTGGTCACGTGCTATGACAGTGGCTCTGATACCATCTTATGAATTGAAATATCTCATTTCTGTAAAAAGTACTTACAAAGGAACGTAGCTACTCCTTATATACAAACACGAGAAGAAAGCTTTACGCGGAAATAACTAACTAACTAATTAAATAACTAATCTGTAACTAACTAATCAAGTAAAACAGATTAACTACAATTAGTTGGATGAACTGTGTCCACGTGGCCATGAGCTGAATCCACTTCTGATTTGGATGTCAACAAGATGGAAGAAAAGAATGAAAAAGAAGTGAGCAAAGCGCGAAACGCAAAGGAAGCAACGCGTTTCATGACCATCATTATCTCACAAAAATCAAAAAATGGAAGATTGTAATAATGGAAAGGAAAAAGAGTTAGATGAATTTTTTTTCCTTTTGAGGTTGAATCTCGTGAGTATACATGGTAGATGCTATCGTGGTGATAACATGTTATAAAATAATAGAAAACCGTAAGAATAATAGAGATAGAAACAAGTAAAATAAAAGATAATAGATAGAAAAAAGAGAAAATTAGGACAAGAAGAGAGAATGATCACATTTCATTGTATATGTCTTGATTTATAAGCTCTCAATACATTATGAGTGTGCATGACAACCTTCCCGGAATCAAGTTCTTATTAATTAGTTCCCGTGAACATAAATGGATAGAAAACGTAAAACCGATTTATTTTTTTGTTCCCGAGAACCGGATTAATTTTTGTGCTGGGGAATAGAAAAAAGAATAAAAAAGTTTCTGCTTTTTTTTGTTCCCGGGCATAAAATGACAAACACTTATTTATCTCAATCACTCTCCACCACTATCATTATTATCATCACCATCATCATCCCGACACAACCACCGCCACCATCGTCGCCGCCGTTAAAGTACCACCAATGTCGTTGTCACTACCACCACCACCACGATGATGTCACCGCTACCATCACCATCACCACCATGACGATGCCATCGCCACCACCTCCACCCATCGCCACCATCACCACCACCACCTTTGCCAACCACCGCCACCATCATCGCAGCCACTGCTGTCACCACTATCACCACCACCACGACACCACTTCTTCCACCACTGTCACCAACCACCACTATCATCGTCGCAGTCGCAGCCACAGCCATCACCACCACCACTATGCCATTACCATGCCATCGCCACCGCCACCATGCCACCACCTCCGTCACTAACCACCACCACCATGCCATTACTATCACCATCATTATCACCAACACCGCCACCGCCACCAATCATCACTGCCATCACATCACCACTATGCCACCACCATCGCCATTATTACCACTAGCACTATGCCGCCACCATTACCACCTTTATCGCCGCAGCCACTGCCGTCACCACCACCACTACCATCACCACGCCACCGCCACTACCGCCGCCGTCGCCACTATCACACCATATGAAAAGGAAAGTGATGATCCAAAAAAAATTAGACTTATAGGAATTATTTTTTATTATATTATTTATTGTGTTATCAAACACAATTCTCATTCTCAGAATAAAAATATAATATGTTATCAAACACATATTTTTTCTCAGAAACTGTTCCAAGGCACAGAAATAGAAAAGAATTGTTTCTTTTCAGAAATAGTGACAATGAACATAATAGTTGTCATGCATACCCTGTAAGTTACAACGAAAAATAATTAATAATTTTAAGGAGTTATAATTTGAAATATTGTCTATGGGTTATGAATATCAACATAATTATATTATTTATGGGGAAAGTGTGTGTCAATCTAAATGACACACACTGGGTCATTTTAAATTAAACGCTGCGTTTTGGTATGAAAATTTTTCACCAGCTCTTTGTGCGTCTCCCCTCTTCCCGCGTTCTCTATTCTTTCCCAGTCCACACGTAAGTTATTCATCACCTTTTTCCACCATTCTCATCTCTGTTTTTCTTCAAGTTCCTTCTCTCCAAAACACCTGATTCAGATTCATCAAGAAAAGACAGCAAGCATAGCAAAGGAAATACAAAAATGGAAGAAAAAAACTAGAGCCAACATAAAAAGGTGATTCCAAAATCCCATTTCATGAACACGCTACTGTTACATTTTTTTTTTGAACTTGATTCACATTATACCTACAGGTGTTGTGCTTCTCAAAGTTTCGCTTTTTCTGATTTTTTTATTTTTTATTTATTTTTTATTTTAGACCTTTGAAACACTTAATGGAGGAAATGTCGACTGCTACAAATATTTAGGTGCTTGAATTCTTGCAGGTTTGTTTTTTATCCCTGTATTGAAGTTAAGTTTATGTAATACACTTTTTTATGTTGGATTTTCTCCCAGCTATACTAAGATATTTTGATGGGTTTAAAGTTTACAACTTTGGCAAGAGTTTGTTTTTTATTTTCAGCTTTTCATAGACCATTTGACAGCATGCTTAATTTGGTATGGGTGTGTTTGTTTCTCTCTTTTTTTTGTTAAAGGTTTAAGCTGAAATGACTGGACTTTGTTAAATATATACATCTGCTAAACCATAACATGGTAGCCACAAAAACAAGATAATGCACATGATTGCTTTTCACAGACCCTTTGACAACATGCTTATGAATTATTATTTTTTCGTATAATTGTTTTTGTCAATGAACATTTGACAACATGCTTACTTTTTTTTTCTTAAGATTATAAAAAAAAATTCCAGTGAGAAGCTAATTTTATTTGAATGTCAACCTTGTTGTAACATAGAGTTCAAGGAAATTCTTTTCTATCTAAATGTCAAGTTAATTTCAATTGAAGGTGTTAAGTTTTTTTGGTTCTTGTCAATGTAGGTTGTGAACAGCTATTGAATACTTTGACATGAGTTCGTTATAATGGATCACTCCCAAATAACAGCTATTGAGGACATTGACATGAGTGAGAGCTTAATTTTTTATGATGACATTGTTGATTTAGAGAAAGACAATGCTGAGTTTGTTGATTTGGAGAAAGACAATGATGAGTTTGTTGACAATGATCAATGTGAAATTATGGAAGACGAAGATAGGGATCATGTGCAAGATAATGCATTTGAAATTGTAGGAGATGATAACAATGAATTCAGTGAGACTAATTTTTAATGTATGGTCTTTGGAACCTTGGGAGAAGCTTATGATTTTTATAATAATTATGCAAAAGGTAAGGGGTTCGGAATACGTAAGCAGTTCTCTAACAAGAGTGCAAAAACACAAGAAATATATAGGTGGAGATATGTGTGTTCAAAAGAAGGCGTCAAGAGAATAAATGATAAAGCAGTTAAAAGGCGAAGGGATACAAGGACCAATTGTTTAGCGATGTTACAGATAAAGTTGGTGGATGGAGTATGGAAAGTATAGAAGTTCAATGATACACACAATCACCCATTAATTAACACTCCATCAAAGGTGAAGAAGTTTCCTTCTCAGAATGAATTACGACGCTCAAAAGTTGCTAAATCTCTTGTTTCTATGCTTTATGAGGAGGGTTTAACTTCTTCAAAGATCTCAAAGGTGGTGAACGCTATGGACAAAGAAGTTAACATTACTCCAGCTCAAGTCACTACTATTATATCAATTCAGCGAAGGAATAATGTGGGGCGAGAATGTCAAGGCATCATCAAGCACTTTCAAAGGAAGTCTACTCTTGATGGTAAAGTCAATGTAACCTGCATATATTCTCTATTTTTTTGTGTACTTGTCCATTGTGGTTTACCATATTCTATTTCAATTGAGAATCTCAAGTTAAATGTAGCCTGTCACGAAGAAACTTTTTGTCATCATGTTTTTTCTGCAACAGGAATACCATCCAAGCTATCAATTGCTCAAAAAATTGATCTATATACCTCAACATTAACAAAATATATTAATGTTATCAATCTTGGTTGAAGGATCATTCAATCCCAAATACAAAACTAACACTAATATAACTAACTTATACATATCACAATTCTATAAGAATATATACAGGTTCCTTCACAATTGTTGTTCATATAGTATTTCCCACCCCTTGAATGTGTTATAAGCAAGTTCACGTGTGCTGCAAGATTCCTTGAAGAAGATTTCTTTCCTCTGTACTCAGAATTCTCATCCCCATTAACCACATAGCTATTTCTTTCCTCTCACCCCTTCGCGTCCCATTATTTCTCTTATCAGCTTATTTCAGTTTTTGCTGCAATCGCTGCTTCCGGTTGGGTGAATTTAGCTCTTGCTGTTTTGATTGTGAAGGAGGCGCTCCGTGTGGCCCCAGATAAGCATTCCAGCGCTAATTATAGAACCTGAGTAATAAGAATGACCCTGCGATCATAGTGAGACATAAGTCAAACCCTGTCTCCGAAGATTAACAACATTCACTCCAAAACAAAATAATCTGTACAGTTAAAAAAAGGAATAAAAGAATACAATAAAAATGAGCAGATGGAGTTCAGCCCAAGGTCCATTCAACCATAGTTTATCAGCACCAACTAATAGAATTATTGCATTCTTCAGAACCAGGCCAAATTAATATATGGACATATCAATTGAATAGATAGCCTAACTGAGAACGAGTCTGTTATCGCTGGTGATAAACAGGTGCAAAAAGTTTCAAATTTTAGAATTACCAAAAGTCAATTAGGGGGTAATCAGAGGGAAAAAGTTAAACAATGATACAGGGGAAGGTTTGCTAAAAGTTTTATATGATACATCCCCAAAATTTAAAAATCTTTCATAGAATGCTGCTAACTTCCGAGCATAGCATAAGCAAAACATAAGACACAAGAAAATGAAAAGAATGTAATTGGGGGGGTCTTAATAGTAAATAATCTCAATGAAAATCAACTTCCAATTTAACAGGCTTATTTCTAGTGGAATTGAATCACAGCCTCCAATTATCAGGGCCTGTCGTGTGTTTTTCACTACTTTTTCATCGTATCACAGACAAATACCCAGGATCAGTAGGACAATTTGAACTAAATATATGCAACTGATCACCAGCCTACGGAAAAAACACCTACACAGAAAGAAGATAGAGAAGGAAGAGGGGGGACCATAGTTCAAATTCAAATACTGTTGATGATGAGAAATAGGGTGAATCATACATTGCCAACGAAAACAGACCGAGAATCTGTCTCCTCCTTGTTTGCCTGAGAAGCAGCTGCACTAGAAGGATCTGCAAAAGAGATTCAGTCAATAAGTTGAAAAAAGAATAATAATGACGCAAAATCAGCAAAACAAGAACGACAAGTCTCTATTTAAATAGTAGTCAGATGATTTGGTAATTTGATAAACTTCACAAATAGCTAAGGTAGTTCCAAATCATTAAAGGCTGCAATACCTAAATTTCTTGGCTAGAAAATATTCTTTTATGGATGAATTCTGGTGCTCAAGGATTCTGGGTAGGGCCTATACATTATCCTTTTCTGGAAATATCTTGGTTTAATAGACAAATTCATGAAATCATATATATGATTAGACTGATTCATGATTCTTGCGTGTTTAGATTATCATTTGCTTTAAGTCAAGAGATTGACATAATAGATATGAATTGAGTAACACTTGCTATTAGAAAAGTGCTCTGCTTTGGTAAAGTGTTAGGCATGAAGATTTTAATCGACTGCTGAATCATACATAGCAACATATAGTGTTGAAGGAAAGGTTAAAATTAGGACATAGGAATTTTTTGGCTATATAGAAGTTCTTATAAAATAATTTAGTTACACTTGTCAAATTGAAGTCTATAGCTAATTAGTTGGAAAAAGGAAAAAGCAATATAAGATCATTCCTGACTGAACTCAGCCTAATGTTTTGAGTCATGTAAGTCCACAGCTTATTGAGTATTAGTTACATGACTTCCTTTATAATTCATGTTATTTAGTTTACTCATATATTATATTGATGCAGGTGGTACAAGCTAAAAAGTTCCAAATCCTGATAAGTGAAGAATTTCACGTTTTGTAGAAAAGTAAGTTAGCTCTCGATGCTGATAAGAGTGTTCTTTCTCGAGTGTGGTCAAAACGTCAAAGCTTGAACAAATTTGAAGTAACACAATATTACATAACTCGAGTGAGAGTGAATTGCAGACAAGAACGTAAAATTCCAGCTAACTCATAAGCTTTTAAATAGCGATTAATCAAAATATGCTAAGATCAATTTGAGTAATTAATTAATTACAGAATAATCAAAAGATGCAATGAAAACCTTGAACAGAGCCAATCTCCTTCTCGACCTTGGCTTGCATCTCAAGAAGTGCGGCGGCTTCCTCTTCCATTTCCTTCAAGCGCCGCTTCATCTCGTCGAGCTCTTTCACGACGGCGTCATCGTCGACGGCGGACATGTCCACGTCTCCTTCCATCACTCCCACGTCTGGGATCTCTCCTCCGTACACGTCGTGCTCTTCCTCCTCCATCTTCGGATTTCGCATAACACAAGTTACACAACTCAACCAAACCTTTAGAATGGAGATGAGAATGATGGAGAAATGTGATTTTCAGTGAGAAAGGAGAATAAAGAACGCGGGAAGAGCGGGGACACACAAAGAGCTGGTGAGAAATTTTCATACCAAAACGCGGCGTTTAATTTAAAATGACCCAGTGTGTGTCATTTAGATTGACACACACTTTCCCCATTATTTATAACACTCTTGTTATAATAAGAGCTTTATAAAATTATGTTTGAATAAATTTGTGATTATAAGAAGAATAGAAGCTAAATCTAATAGCTTCCCATAATTTGTAAACAAAAATGTTTTTTTTTTATCAAACAATTGAGTTTTGATTCCCGTAATAAAGAAAAAGAAGAAATGTTTACCAAAAAAAGAAAAAAGAAAAAGAAGAAAAAGTAATAAAAAACAAAAACAAAAACAAAAGAAAAAGAAAAAAACGATGAAGATTGAAGAAAGGGGAGGACAATGGTAAGGTACGAGAAAGAGAAGCCCTTGGTATCCAACGTTTAATTAATTTTACATTAATATTTCCGAAGGAGATCTTCTTGACAGATAAATGCCTGTGGCTGTAACGATACCCGGTTATCAACACCGCATCTACGCTTCACTCTTCACCATCGCCAAGGCCAAGAAAACCACCATGGCCAGCACCAGCACCAGCAATTCGGGTGCATTCACTACAATCCAAGAGAGAGTCACCTTCGAAAAAGAGATCAAGAAATCCAAGTTCATCGCCATTGCTGGCCCCATCTCTGATGAGAAATCCGCTATGTCTTTCCTTTCTCAGGTTCATTCTCCCTTTCTTCTGCTATCCCTTTAGTTTCAACTACTTCATTGTTGTTATTCTTAGTTTTATTTTTTTATTTTTTTTTTATTTTTGCATAAAGAATAATTGATTAAATTTTTCACTTTGTTGATTATTAGGTCCGGGATCCACGTGCTACCCACAATTGCTGGGCTTATAAGGTACCATAAAGGCTTATTTTTTTACTTCCATGAAACACAATGATTGCTTGTATTTCCTGTGCGTGTATATATTTATATATATTTGTTCTAAGAAAATCTAGTTAGTATTATTGCTTTCTATATGAATGTTTTCTCTCAAAAAGGAAAGGGTATGAGTAGGACAGAATTAAATGCCTCAGTTGAGTACTGCTTTCTGGTCCCTTGAGGTTTCAGCTCTCAATGCGGTAATTGTAGTTTAATTGCCTTAGCCTAAGGGTGGCTGATTATGCCTCTTTCATTTGCCTTTTAAATTGTTGCTTCACTAGCTAGTTTCTTTACAAATTAGATGTGTTGATCGGAACATTGAAGAGGTACATAGCATAAGTAAAGGTAGAAAATATTATACTGCATAATGCATATAAGGGTTGCGCAAAATAACCAAACCGAATTGAACCGAGCCGAATCACATTTTTCTAAACTTGTTTTGAGATCCGAACTGGTTTATAAAACCAGTTTAAAAATCATACCAAACCAAAAGAATGGTTTGGAATATCGGTTCGAAACCGGTTTGCAATTGGGTCGGAACCAATTTGCATATCCGAATCGGTTTTGAAATATAAACTTATTCTAAAACAAACCTGTTTTGAACCGGTTCGGAAAAAATGAAAAAACGTTCGGGTCAACCTATGCCCACAGTTGCTATTCGTGTACACTTTACTATCTTTTGTTCATCAGTTTTTCCGTCTTGTGTAACAGGTGGGGGATCAATACCGGTCCAATGATGATAGTGAACCTTCAGGTACTGCTGGGAAACCAATACATTCTGCTATTGCTTCTTCAGGAATAGATAGAGTAATGGTGGTTGTGATCAGGTCAATGCTTCCACAACCTTATTTTGATTTTTCACATATGTTTGTTGATTAATCGTATACTTTGAATTAATGGATTCTGTTGGATGGCATGAGTTTACTGTCCTCTTTTTTTTTTCCCTTGACAAAATCCTTGACTAACCACAGCGTGTGCACGTGCTTGTGGATTGTCTTTTACATAAACCCGTGTTATGTGAATTAAGCATTAAGCTGTTCTGTTTTGGTGTTGGATGATATATATTAAATTTCAGGTATTTTGGAGGTATCAAATTAGGCACCGGGGGATTGGTTAGAGCTTATGGAGGAGTTGCATCCGAATGCCTGAGGAATGCGCCAACTTGCCTTGTGAAAACAAAGGTAGTTATTTTCTTAGCCTGTAGTGCATCTTTAGTTCTTGCTATACCAAGCATTTAACTTTCTTAAAAGTTTTGGAACTCATTATGCTTATGGTGTGACATTTTTGAATAATTTTATGAAAAATGTAGGTGCCAATGGGTGTAGAGGTCCCTTTTGACCTACTTGGAGTTTTCCACCATCAGGTTAGTTCTTGCAGATGTATATCGATGGCTCACTGATTAGGAATATGCTTCTTTTTGTCTGACTCGGGTAGGATAATGAAAAAAACTGATGAGAAGGACAAGATTTTCTGAAAAAGTTGTTTGGAGTGTACGTGTACATCAGTTTTGAGCAGCATATCTTGATTTCTTTTTATTCATCCCTTGTTTTCTGTCTATCATTTCTGGACTGCATAATTAACTTATACTTATCAGAGAACAGCCTCTTTGCAATATTTTCGCTAGTTGGGGGAAGTGGTTTTTTGTTTATACAATCTAGCTTCTGGTCCTTGTGCAAATGGTAGTTTAAGATGGTGAGGATGAGCGTAACTGTGTAAACATTGGCTATATATGCATAAATCAAAGCTGTACCGTCATAATTACCACTCTATTATGTTGCTTTAATTGTAAGAACTATTCCGTTAATGTGTTTTAAATGTATCCGCATCTTATGCCTCATTGCTCATTATTCATGTCATTTTCAGCTGCAGTCTTTTCACGTCGAAGACATCAAGCAGGATTATGATACCGGTAAAGATGGCATATCAATGGTTACTTTTAAAGTTGATTTTGACCAAGCTGAGAAATTGGAGGATGCACTGAAAACCAATTGTAGCCGAGAATTGAAATTTTATAAGCGTTGAGACTTATACTGGATTTTGAATATATTTTTTTTGTTATGCATGATGGATAAAATGAACTGGACATGTACAGGCTCGGTATATAAAATTTTGGCTCCAAGTACATTAATGCTGGTAATGGGACTAATATGCAGATATGAAACATATATGGTTTACTTAACAATTTTGTTAGAGATATATAAAACTATTAATGTAGTTTCTCTTACTAACTTAAGTTTTTGGGTTGAATTGGTTCTTTACATAGTATAAGAGCTTCGATGTCACATATTCGATTTTCATCGCTCCCCATTTTTTTTGTGAAATTTCTTAGCACCGTTAGGTTGGATCTGATGTATCATTTACCTTTTAAGCCCAATGGATTTTCTTGTGAAGGGATATGTTAGAAATATATAAAATCATTAATATAGCTTCACTCAATAGTTTAAATTTTTAGGTTGAATTGGTTCTTTACATATTTTAAAAAATATTTGTAGTTTTGTAATTATGATGCATAAATCAGTTGAAACTTTTACACTAGAAATATGTGGAAAGGAAGGCCAATATTTAACTAGATACTCAGTTTTGTATAGACAGTTGAATCCAAATTACAGGTGTCATAGGTAGAGAATTGTTTAAGCAGGACACATATCAACCACTGCATCCGAAAATCTGTCGTGGAAGCGTATGGCAAAAGAGAAAGAAAGACGGAGAGCCAAATTTTGTATAACTGAAATTATTCATAGAAAATCATAAAATCAAAGAAATTCTCTTCTAGTTTTATCCTGTGTTTTATGTTGATCAAGATTTGGTCAAGTTTGCCATAAAAAAAGTTTTAATCACTTATCTTTATGAAAGAATTCACCATAATTTAGTATGTCTATAACTCTACTATTAAGATATGCGCCTTTATAAAAAAGAAGAAGATATTCGCCTTTATGATTCCTAGACCCTTGTAACCAAGAACAGAAACATAAGGCTTGGGTATCAAGTTAAGCTGACAAACAATAAATCAGCAAATAAAATAAAAGAAGAAAATCAACAAGATGAGAAGCACAACCTCGAAGTTATTTACAAGTACTACATGTTCATCGATTTTCCCGCTAAAAACTCAAGTAGTTTTCTTCAAACAAGAAACAATTCATTTAGAGTAGGCACATATTACAATCAGTTGAATCGCAGTACAACGCATGCCTCTTTTCCTAACACAGATAAAGCACATAATCAACAACCACACTATTCAGTTCCTTTTTTAACCCCAAGAAGTGTAAAACACATTACCTCCCCACTGAGTGGTGCAAGAACAATCCAAACCAAACAAGTGCAAAAAAAAAAAAACAAAAAACAAAAAACTTCTCTCCTTTCCAAATTCTACCGCTCTACAAGATTTCTCAATCTTTTGCTACGTCCAAAACCAAAGTCACCGTTGGAATCAGTAAACCCTTTCCTTTTCACCCTATTAGCCAGAGTTTTTATCTTGGTCCTTTTTTTTCCTTTGCCCCCAAGTTGTGTGATACCACCTCCTCACACGAATAACGTGGTTCACCCCAGAGTACCTCAGAGGGGATAGCAATAGTATTTCTCCTTTCCCTCCACCGGCAGCTCCCCAACCGCACTCTGAAACTTCCTTCGTCAATTACTGCACTGGAAACTGCAATCCTTGTATTTTCTCGCAAACTCATGTCATGACAATACTACTAGTAAGGGCACATTATAAAAAATGACGCTCAACCTTGAGTACATGGCTCTGGCAGCTACAGCGAATGAAGTGGGTCAACCTCTTTTTGGCTTCGGCCAAAGACTTTTTATCGCTGGTCGAGCTTTCTACAAAAAAAAAAAAGCCATGCAAGAACATATTCTCTTAAATAAGCTTCTTCCCTGGGCATTCGCTCCCCCCATCGTAAATGGTTGAGGTCGAAATGAACTTGGTTCTTTCTATTCAATAAGTATTGCATGACCGAATAATTCAAGGAGGGGCGCACTGCACCATCATCGTCTCACAATTGAATAAGGCTCTCCTCGTTTGGTTGGAGAGCACAAATCAGGTCTCCCAAGTCTCATTAGGGCCTTCTTGATAAGGAAAAACTTGTTCTTATTAGAGTCACACGACCATCTTAAACAGCAGCTGCACGAGGTAGCAGTTTGCAATGTTGCCGAGGCAAAGCTGTAGGATAGCATCAATCGAGTTTGTCTCCGTTCCTGACTCGTGTTTTTCTGGTTAGTGTAACAGAAAATGTGACACTGGGTTTCTGCTAATTGTAGAGAGTGAATTTTGATTATATTTTTCTTAGGCATTGTAGATAAACAGGATTAAGTATATAAAATATTGCATCTTAAGTACATTCTTTAAGTATCTTTGTCTTGCTAATAGGATTAATATGCAGATATGAAATCTACCTGATTTTTTTTTTATTATTTTGTATTTATGTGATATAACTTGTAATTTCAGTAGAAATTTTTACAAATTTATATGTATATAGAGAATGGATTTGCTCTGTAAAGTTAGTATAGTGACATAAATGAATCCTTTTATTTCACATAGTTAGTAACTGTTTTTATTGTCATCCTTCTTTCCTTATTGTCCTGAAAGTAATGAATCGTAGTAGTTTCTTTCATATTAATGCAGTACCAGCAGTAAGGGCACATTGTCTAAAAACGACATCCCATCCTAGTTCAGCGCGAACATAGATCTCACTATCAGTCTCACCTTAATGGGTCAGAAAGCACATCCGACAGATACTCATTAAGGCCTCTTATACAAGAGAAACTTATTCTTATCGAGGTCTAAGAAGTGCATAGGCAGTTCACCACAGCTGAGCCTGGGAATGGAGTATCAATTGAGTTGGTTCTTGTTGAGGCGATCCTTTACTGCGTCTAGAACGTCAACTATTGCTAGGATTTGGTCCACTTGAGCAAACATATTTTGGTGAATCTTGGAACCCCGTGGATGAACTCGCGGCAAGCAATGAGATCACGGCACTAAAGCAACTTAGCACATGAATGGAGAACATGATCCGATCCAGATTCCAAGATGCCTCTAGTTATGTTGTCTGTCCCACTTTTCATTCTCAAGTTAGAGTATAGAGTGTGATGTTGACTATATATATAAATCAGTGGAGTGAACTTCAAATTTAACAAAGGAAGCATTGCTTTCTATGATATCAAAACATGAGAATGGATATTATGCTTACTCTAGCTATTCCTTTTCAATATTGTTAGATCAAAATCTCAATTAATTTTCATCCTTTCTTTCTCCTCTTAAAATTCTGATCTAACAGTATTAAAGATGAGTAGGTAAAGCAAGCATAAAACAAGATAGGCTAGTATTTAGATTTATAAATATTATTCAAGGTACTGGGTTTATTAATTTATGAGAAAATTTAATAAAATTGATAAATTAAGAATTTTTTTTATAGTTTTTGATAGTAATGTCTTGAGCACTGAATTCGCAGATATGAAATCTATCTGGTTTACATAATGATTTTAAAAAAAAAAATTGTAATCTTATATTTATGTTGCAAAATTTCTATAGAAATTTTTACACATCTATATTTGTTTTGTGGAGTTACATGTTTAACGGCATAACTCTAATACCTCATGTCAAATTCATAAGAATTAAGAAATGACAGACATGTAACAGATTACTGAAATAACTCACAGAAGAAAGAAAAAAATATCCAGCTGAAACAAATACAGGATGAGTACAAAACGGATGTTTTAAGAAGATAAAACCATCAAATAAAGAGGGAAGATTTAAACTCCAAAGATGTTATATGACCCGTTTAAGTTTGAAGAAAGCAGTGACAGATAATGAAAAGATGTTCTTAGATTAGATCTGAAGAAAACCATAAATTTTCTCAACAAAGAGACACAACAACCGAGTCCAGTTATAGAGAAAAGAGTTAGCAAACATAAAAGCCCGTCAGTACTATTAAATAGAAAAAAAGACAATCAGCTTATTCAAAACTGATAAAAACCAGAATAATAAATGCACCAACACTACTTATCAATGCCTTTGTTTCAGCATTAATATATACCGTGATATATCTTTATGGGTGGTACTCACGCGAAATATGTGGAAAGGAAAGCCTCATGCGAAATATGTTGAAAGGAAAGCCTCATGCGAAATATGTGGAAAGGAAAGCCAATATTTATTTAAATACTCAGTTTTATATCTGACAGTTGAATCCATATTACAGGTGTCAGCCAGCCTATAATCCACCTTCGATAGAAAAGAGAAAATCAGAGAAAGAGAATTCTCTAAGCAAGACACATATCACCCCATGCATCACAGAAACTGTCCAAGCTATGGGAAAAAAAGATGGAGAGCCAAATTTTGTGCAACTGAATTATTCATAAAACATCATAAAATCAAAGAAATCCTCTTCCTCAAGTTTTATAGTCTGTTTTAAGCTGAACCAGATTTAGTCAAGTCTGTCATGAAAATTTTAGTCAATCATCTTGATGAAGGTCAAGCTTGTGATAAAAAAATTTAGTCTATTATCTTGACGAAAGAATTTGGCATAGTCAATGGCGGAGCCATAAACTTTTAGAGGGGCCAAATTATGATGGAGATTTTGTTCCTTGGGCAGACTAACACTCCTCCAAAAGTGTAATGGAATTGACCAAGTCCAGAAAATATGTTCCCCAATCTCACACACTTCAGTTTTATGGCACATCCTACACACTACTTCAACTAACCCTTGGACTGCTGAGATGAAAAAGGCTATTGTAGTTCCAGAACAATTCTCAACAATGAACTTTTTTTCCATATTATTGAAGCTCCAAGGAACAGGGGAAAACACAATAGTGAGTTCAAAGTTCTGATAAATAGAAGCTAGACATAATTTATCACTGTTAAGTAGATGAGAGAAACTTAAAAAGCAGAATGAAGGTACAACAAAATAAATCTCAGCAAATCCACTTTAACCCATAACGGTAGCTGTAGAGCTTCATATATTTATCTCTTTTTAACACTTTCTTCAACAAAGAATCATGAACTCGGGCAATGTAAAAGCCATATCTCCGATCAGTTTTCGTGATATTATCATTTTTTAAAACAAACTAAAAAAAATTATGAGCATATCACTCAAATTAATGCACTGGATTTCACAAACAAGCTCAATAGTCTTGAAATTGGGAAAAGGGAAAGAAGGATGAGGCAAAGTACTGAGAATTGAGAATATCATTAACAAATATAATGTTAAGTTTCAAACAAATAATCTATGATTTATATATACAAGCAATCATTCAACCAATAATTATCATCTTAGCAAAAGTAAATAGCTTCGACAAGAAGCATTAATGATTTGGAACAATAGAAACTGAAGAATTGGAAAGCTAAACATCCGTGATTTACAGTACACCATCCAATGCAAGCCCAAACTGCTCCCAAAAGAATGACAGAACCCGAGGTCAGAGCAAAGAAAATACTAAGCAAAATATACTTCCAAAAAACACCAAAGATGAGGGGTAGAACAGAAGACACCAATCAGCACCCGCAGCAACATGGAAAAGCTTCAAACCAAGTTTGTGAAAAGATTGGGGATACCTTGGTTTTTGAAATTGAGTAGCATTATGTTTGAAGCCATTACCCACTCTTCTCAACTCACCATAGTAATGAGAAACAGGAGCTTGTCTCAGAGCAACAACCTACTCAGCCATAGTACTAGTCTTTGAAATTTCAAGGGGGGCTACCCAGCAACCAAGAATAGAAACATAGCGCTTGGGCATCAAGCTAAACTGATAAACAATAATCCCAGCAAACTGAATAAAAGAAGAATATCCACAAGATGAGAAGCATAGCCTCTGAGTTATTCACACGTGCAACATATTCATATATTATCCTTGTCTTGCTTCCCAAATAAAAAAAGACCATCATACAGAAACTAAGAAACAAATCACTGTCTCTCGCTCCTCAGCCGAAGCTGAGTATAGGTCCATGGCCACTACAACTGCAGAATTATGGCTTAAATCAGTTTTAGCTTCTCTTGGTATTTCTCATCCTCAACCTGTGATTGTGAAGCTCTATTGTGATAACCAAACTGCTCTCCACATTGCAGCCAATACACATTGAACTCGATTGTCATTTTATAAGGGATCATATTGTCAATCGCACTGTCACCCCTGAGTATGTTCGTTCAACTCTTCTTTTGGCTGATATATTTAAAGGCTTTAAGCTAAAGGACCATTTGACAGCATTGGGGAGTGTTAGAACATAAGGTGGCTTAGTTATGACTGTTACGGCTGTTGCATAAATAGATAAATGGATAAAGCTCAGTTTAAATATATTTGAATGTACAGGGTATCTTATCAGTTAGTTGCTCTATTGTTTGTTACAAACAGCAATGTAAACGATCTTATCTTGTAACCAAAGTCGTCTATATTAGACGTGCATCAGTAATGTAAACGATCACCAGTATTTGATATAAATTCTATTATAAAACAAAAGCAATTCATTAAAGAGTATGAACAGAATACAATCAGTTGGGCGCATTGCAAAAACTATATAATACAAGCAATGCATGCCTCCTTCCCTAACAGATAAAACACACAGTCGACAACTCCACCATAAAGTTCCGTTTTTTCCAACACTTGTGAGAAAACTAGCCAATAATTCCCGTGTACACTACCTCCATAGTGGTGGAAGAACTATCAAAACCAAAAAAGTGCCAAAAAGTTCTCACCTTTCCAAGTTCCATTACTACCAAACCCTATCTCCATTTTCTTCTGCATCCAAGTCAGAGTCACTATTGGGATCAATAAACCCTTTCATTCTCACCCTGTTAGCCACTGTTTTTATCCTCATCTTTTTTTTTCCATTGCCCTGGAAGTTGTGATCCCCCATAGGGTACCTCAAAGGCAAACTCAAGTGATAGCAATAGTACTGGTCCTTCCCCTCCACTATAGTTTCCGGTGCCGGAGGCTTCACCGCCACACCATGAAATGTCCTCTTACAATTAGTGCACCGGAGAGAGCAATCTTCGTATTTTCTCTCATACTCATGCAAGTACCAGCAGTAAGGGCACATTGTCCAAAACGACATCTCACTCTGGTTCAGAGCATCTCCGTTGGAGGGACATTGCACAGGCTGCTGTGAGGTGCCACTGCCGCCACGGACATCAAGGATGTGACGCTCTCGCCTTACTGGGTCGGAGAGCACGAACCAGGCCTCACGGACGCGCATTTGGGCCTCTTCCGCAAAGGGAAATTTGTTCTTGTTGGGGTCCAAGAGGCGCACTAGCGTCTTGAACTGCAGACGTGCAAGGTAGCGGTGATTCGCCGGATCGCCAGGGGTGAGTTTCAGAATGGAATACCAGTTGAGTTGGTTCTTGTTGAGGCGGTGCTCCGCTGCACCGAGAACGTCCACAATTGCTAGGATTTGGTCCACTTGAGCAGAGATATTCGGGTCGGATCTTGGGACCCGGTGAACTAACTCACGGCAAGAAGTGAAATCACGGCGAGAAAGTAACGCCACGCATGAACGTAGGACATAATCCGACCCCGTTTCCGACATGCTTCTGGTGATGTTGTCTCCCCCTTTCCGGTCTGAACTTATTCAAGTTAGTGTCTGAGTCTCGAGTTACAGCATACAGAGGGTTTTTTTATACAAAGAAAATCTCAATGACAAATAATTTGTCAAAAGAATTAAATTAGTTAAATGTTTGAAATTTTGTATTGCATAGGCTAAACAGGTCTAATAAAATGTGATATTTTATGGATTATCTCATGTAACAATTTTCTTACACATAAAAAAAAATTAAGTCTCACCACTCTTTTTTCTGTCTTTTCTGAGTCCCATTATACTTTTATTTTTACAATATGAGGTAACTTTTTTCCAACAACATAAAAAAAATATATCTCATGTTTTATATATATATATATATATATATATATATATATATATATATATATATATATATATATATATATAAAAGAATTTTGTATTGCATAGGCTAAACAGTATCACAAGTATTTTGATTCAATCATTGATTTTTTTTATTTTCTTTCCTAATTTTTCTTATATTATTGACATTACTTTGATTACATTAATTTAGAAATTGATATTAAATTCGTCATGTTAAAATAATAATTAATAACATAAATAATTCAAAATTATCTGACATTCCTTCGAAATTTGTATAAATTCTAATTCATCAAATTTATTGTTTTTGATTGTTTCTAACTGAACAATCCTCTATTTGCAATAAAATTTTGATTGGGCAAAGCTGAATATGATTACATAGAGAGTGGATGAAAAATATGAGAATTTGATTAAAGATAATAGGATTAGACAATGACTTTGTCTTCAATATTTAAAAAAGGGGATTTATCAATCGATTCGGGTGCTGCAACTTGTTCACCTGTTTGAACTCAACCAGCAAACGTGTTTGAAAATTAACTAGCCTGAATCAAGCTATTTTGATTTACTGACAAGGCAAAACTGTAGGAAAAGTTACTAAAATAATTACTAAATACAATAAGCGCAAGCAGAGTAACGATTACATAGTACATACGGAGATTTTTCCTCCCCAAAAAAAAGCAAAACCAACAGATATGTAATATCAGAATCACTTAACCCAACTCCCAAAAAGCATTAGCAGTTTAGCAATGCACAGCAAACTCTAGGCATATGAGTTAATAACCATCTAGCCTTCAAACATCAAGTTCTCACATCTTTGAGTACACCCCTTTTTTCGAGCTCACTGACCAATTCTTTAAGGGATGGAACCTTCGTAGCCAAGGTCCTATATAATCTAGAATACCGTGCGCGAGTGCCATCTGCAGTCCTTGCTAGGGAAAGCAAGCTTAGAGCCTCAGGTAGTTCGGAAAATACTTGTTTCATTTCCTCCAAGCTCAAATTTTCCAAAACGGAGGGTCTAGGGGCAATCCTCACAATTTCACCACCTTTAGGTTCCTGAACTCGAGCATCAGCTTTAATAACTAATTCTGAATTAGAGCTTGCTCCACATTTTATTATAAATGGTAAGGCAGAGCCTGTATTAAATTGGAGTACATTCCACTGTGTGACCTCAATTTCGGATCCAGAGCCCAGATCCATTGATGGTCTGCCAATATGTAATAGATCCTGAATGTGGTCATCTTCTTCAGCAATTGACTGTATCATAACAGAATAGAGGATTCAGGCATCAGGAAGAACATCAATCCATTTGTTTTCATCAGTTCATTCCTTAGTATTTTAGCTCAGCTGTAGTCCCAAGCAGCAGAGCAAACACTTTATTTTGTTTCATTTCAGTATTGATGGTCATTTATAAAGTGTTATCAACTCATACACCAATTGAAAGGAGGATAAGATGATTACCCTAAAAAGGTATACAACAGAAACACTTTGCATACCTCAACCACGTGGCAAGCATCTGCAATGTGCCTCTGAGCACATGGATGATCAATTTCAAGAAGTGAAGGCATCTGTTCTTTTAGCTCATCAAGTGAAGCAAGCGCTGTTCTTTTCTTACTTTTGCTAATGATGTTCACGGAAGAAAGTCTTGATGTTATATCCTGTTTAAATAATACTTTGAATTATTGATAATAAAACCAATCAGTACACTAACTTGGAAAATAGATTTGAACAATAAAATAATAATGACCTTGATTTGCTTTAATATGCCATCAAGTGAAATGAGAGATGCTAATCGTGCATCTTCAGCTGCTGTAGAAGGATTTTGAATAGGTGAACCACCATTTTCCAATGTCAATAAAGCTACATCACTTCTCATTTGTTGCAGAATCTGATCGTAAAACGTATGAAGAAATAAATTAACTAGGACTGAATTGATGAGCTATGGATTACGAACATAGACCAAAGAATACAAACTAATTAAATAAAATAGCCATCCATTCTCGAACATAGGTTATCAGATACAGAACTTCCACTCAAAAGAGGGAAGCTGTGACCATTTAATGAGAACTTCAGTTCTGCCCTTGGTGTCTTGCACCATTGAAGAACAGCCTCGGGTTCCACCTGAAGCTCCCAATCATCAGCAAGTATAGGAGGCAATGATTGCACAACAGTTGTTGGAGAGATGGCTTTTTGTTGAGATATATAGTCTCACATTGGTTGTATGTGCAACTAATGTGGAGTTTATAAGGTCTTGGGCACTCCCACCCTTTGAGCTAGCTTTTGAGGTGGTGTATCCCAAGGTTCTTTATATGGTATCAGAGCCTCGCCGCCCCCCACTTTCTCTTGTGGCGTTTCTTAGCACAGGTAAGCTGGGCCTGTTGCATTGTCCACTCTTCAAGCCCAATGGGCTCTCGTGTGAGGGGTCGTGTTGAGATATATAGTCCCACATTGGTTGTATGTGCAACTAATGTGGAGTTTATAAGGTCTTGGGCACTCCCACCCTTTGAGCTAGCTTTTGGGGTGATGTATCCCAAGGTTCTTTACACTTTTTTCAACAGAGACATGGAACACAAGATGAACTCTACACCCATAAGGTAATTCCGGTTTATATGCTGCAGGCCCAATTCTAGCCTTCTACACGGAGGCAGTCCCGTGGGAATGCGAAAGATATCCTCAAACTCAGCTACCAAACACTCAAGTTCCCTCCAAACCACTATTGGTTCATGTAGTTCATGTGAACTTCCTTGCGGGTCTATTAAACACCCCTGTCCCTGTTCAGATATAACCTTAATAGCTGAATGAAAAGATGCCAAGATTTTTTTACAAGTCAAAGAAAGGTCTCCTCTCAATACCACTTCTTGACCCGAAACATTAAACTTTAGAGTGAGCACATGGAAATCTGCTTTAATCTCCACCGAACTCCTTAACCATTCTAAGCCCAAAATAATATCAGCCCCACCTAAATAAAAAATGTACAGATCCTGTATAGTAGCTATACCTTGAATTTGGAGCTTAATCTGCTTACACACTCCTTGGTTGGATACTTTGTAAACATCACCCACTTCAACTATATATATTGCGGAGTGTCCTCCATCTTCAGCCTTAAGCGCTCAGCTATTGCTCCGCTCACAAAGTTGAGTTGCTCCACAATCCACTAATATAATGAGTTTCTCCCCTTGAACAATTCCCCACATCCGCATTGTTTGGAATATACATGGAGAGTTGAAGAGTTTTTCCACTGCCCTCATCTTGATTTTCCTCGCCCCTATCTTGATTTTCTTCCATTGCAACAGTTCTCTATTATGTTGCCTCTCCATTGCCACATTCGTCAACTAGCAACAAGCTTAGTTGAGAAACTTTACAACGATGGTTAGGGCTCTATAGTTCCTTGCACTTGAAGCATGCCCCTCTTCTCACCCTGTCCTGTAACTCCCTCCGCGTTAGTCTCCTTCCCTCAGCCCTAATGCCATTATTTCTAGAGCTTTCGGTCAAGTTAGGTTGTACAGGAATTGCATTGGCACGTGTATTAGTGCTGGGACGTGTGTAATTGCTGGAGCGTTGATAGAAACTCGCGTGTCTCCCACCTTTCCACCTTGACTTGAATAATTCATATGCCTTGCATCCAAGGTAAGTTGGGTGTTTCGACTGGGCTGCACACTCCTACCAAGTGATAAACCCTTAGTTTACCATGCTTTTATGCTAAATTCTACAAGAATTATATGGTAGATTGTATGGAATTCAAGGTGTTATATGATAAAATCATAAAGATTTGAAAATTAAGCTAATGTTTTGATATCTTGCATATTTTGAAGGTAAATCCACAAGATTTGGTGCTAAGAAGTGATCAAAGAATCATAACAAAAGATTTGAAGCTCAATCTGAACCAAAAGAAACCAATGCAAGCCCAGTCAGCCCAATCTGCAGGATCTTAAATAAAAACAGAAACAAATCAAGATTTGATTGGGAATTGATAGAGATTCGTGGGGAGATTTGATGAAGAATTAAAAGATATGGCTTCAAAGGTTATAAATAGGGAGCTTGGGGTCAATGGAATTCATTCATTCACACACACACCATGGGAAATACACAGAGACCTAAAGGAGGAATCCTGTTGCGGAGTGTTGGAGCACTGGGGAACCAAGTCAACATCACACCAATGGAGGCTTGGGGAACTATTTTCTTTCTTATTGCTTTTGAATTCAGTATGCTAGGCTAAGTTTTTCTATAGTTAGGGGTAGATGGAACCCAATTGAATCCTTATGTTTATGAATTAAATTGTCTCTGAATTCTTCTCTTTTTATAATTGAATAAATTTATCTGTCTTTAATGTTTTCTATGAGTTTGCTCCTTATAGATTGAATTAGGGGAATTGTATGACAATAGGGATGTTGGTGCATGAACCCTGATTTGATAAATTTATCACAATCCTTGTGATCTAGGGATAGACATAGGGCAATTGAACAATCTTTAAATTCTTGATCTTAATGCATGTTTTCTTGGGGAATAATCGGGGAAATAGAGTTCTTTCAAGATCACATAGATTTAGGGTAACAAGGAATTGAGCCCTAATTAACTTAGAAAGAATTGATTGGCATTATATTAAGAGCAGATTCTTGACAGTTTAATTCATAGCATATAGAGGAGATTGAGAGAAGTCGAAACCCTAACTACGCTTGTTTTTAATCTTTAAATCAATTGTTGAGATATAAAAAAACCACTAATGTAGCCTCACCCAACAGCTTAAGCTTTTGGGTTGAATTGGTTCTTTACATGATATCAGAGCCTCGTGTCCCGGGTTCGATCCTCGCCGTCCCCCACTTTCTTTCAAGTGGAATTTCTTTGTTCGCACAGGTAGGGTGGCCTGTGCATTGTCCACCCTTCAAGCCCAATGGGCTCTCGTGTGAGGGGGTGTGTTGAGATATATAAAAAACTATTAATGTAGCCTCACTCAACAGCTTAAGCTTTTGGGTTGAATTGGTTCTTTACATCAATCATCTTTCCAATTGCTTTTTAATTCTGAATTTTAATTTGCATGTTATTAATTGTTTTCTTTTCAATTTCAATTCTCTTAATCTCAATATTGATTGTCCAACTAAACCGCGATTAGCGAACTAGTGTTTGAAACCCAATCCTCGTGGGAACGATCTCGTACTTCGGTACACTTTTATTACTTAACGACCGGTGCACTTGCCGAGTCGCAACACCAAGCCCATTCCATCTTCCATTGGGCCCAACCCCAAATCCTCCACTTACCCAAGCCTGATTTCTTTTCTCCAAGAGTGTTGTCTCTTTCATGGGCTCTCCCAAGCTAGTAATGTCCTTCTGCAACAATTCTGTTCTCAGGATCTCACAAATCCCATGTAGCCAAATCTCACAAAGCATGTTCTCATCTATGTAATGCATCAGGCCGATGATATGCTCGAATTTCGCGCGATAATTGGCTACGCTCCCTGTTTGCTTCAAACTAGGGGTGACAAAACAGGTTATGACACGCGGGTTGACCTGCGATACGACACGAAAATTCGTGTTCGGATTGACGCACAAAAAAATTTGTGTCGTGTTCGTATTGGAAAAAATGACCCGCAAAAAATTCGTGTCATGTTGCATGTCGACCCTTATTTTTTTAATTATTTTTTACTATTTTTTTTTAGTTTTTTAATTATTTTTAATTTCAACCAATATTTGAAAATTTTTTGGTCAATTACCGTTTTAACCTCTATTTTGCGTGTTGTTCGTGTTGAAGATTTTGACACGAATAAAAATTTGTGTCGTGTTCGTGTTGATGTATTCGTGTCTTGTCAAATCCGTGTCGTGTCAATCCGTTTTGACACCCTACTTCAAACTCATCATCTCTTGGTAAAGGCTCCTCGTTGTTTCAAGCTAAAAGCGATCCATAACATCCGATCTAAAGTCTGCCCAAGATGCGTTTGGGTTATTCATATCCCAAACTTGAAACTAATTTAGAGCCAAACGATCCAGAACCACCATCACCGCATCGGCCATATCTCTATTTGCGATGTGATTCACTAGGAAGTATCTCTCAACCTTAGTGAGTCAAGAGTACATATCATCACCATTAAACCTAGGTATCTCCAATCGAACCTTAGATTCCATTGATCCTTGATTATCTCTACGAGAACACCCTCGTCTACGATGGTCTCTATGGTCATTACGCTCGGGGCTTCGACGGTTTTGCTGCAAAGCTGCAATATCTCGTCTAACCTCTGATTCGTGCTACGAAAATGTTCCTCCACATTCTCCTCATTTTTGCGAAAGTGTTCCTCCATGGCCTCCAAACGAGAATCCATGGTTCTCGTAACTACCATCCGAAGCTCCCAAGTTGTGATAGAACTGGATCGAATAACCAATTAACAGAGGAAAACAAGATATCTTTTGGCCCAAAAAAGGATCTGGATTTTCTATATATTTGAACAAGAAAAGAAATTGCAAAATTCAAATATAAGAACAATAAACAACACCAGAAAAAAAAAAGCTTAAGTTACAACACATTCGAGAGGTGCTGATGCTCTCCCAATTTCCAAATCCAATTCCATCCTAAATCTTTATTCCTCTTCTCCTCCCCTCATATACTAATAGTAACTAAATTTCTCAATCATCCTTTTCTCTCTCTCCTAATAGAATTGCTCTCCACATTAATAGAATTGCCTCCCACATCACCTTTTAGAATATTCTCTTCATTGTCATTCGTCGCTTTGTCTGAGTCAGCAGTAACTAATACTCCCCTAAGACGCGTCCTAGAATACGATTTTAGAGGTATTCTATTACACTATAATCAGGGGTTATATTAATATTTATAATAAAAACTTTATCTAGTAACCAATGCAATGACAAAAGCTTGAACTCATGTATGAATTCTAGATAAATGCAAAGATAAGTTTATATAACACATTTACAGGCATGCTTCAGAATTTACAGTTGAACAAAATAACGCACCTTTCTTCTTTTATGATTAACAGATTCTAGAGCTGAACGTAGTTTCGCCACTTGTGCAACATCTTCAGCCTCTTCAGTTGCCAAGGTACCAGCAATATCCTGATAATAAATTGTCAGAAAACAGAGGCCCAACACATTATCTAAGGAGTACACTATCACTATATCACACAAATGTAACTAGCCATGGATGGTAATGAAGATGGCAATTAGGAAACTTGAATGCAAGATTTCAAAATGCATGTAAAAAATTTGAGAAAATAATATTGTGAAATTCTAAGCAGCAAAGTTTTTTTGGGGATATATTGAAAGATGTAAAAAAAAAGGGTTTATTGTATTGATTCTATAGATTTATAAATAGGAGGATTTATACAAGTGAAAAATGAAAAAGATAGACAAGAATGACTCAGCAATGAGTCGTCAGTCCTATCTTATTGTTAGAAATAATATTAGTTTTATTATTAATAGTTTATTATTCTAGAAGGTTATTTGAGCTTAGCTCATTAGGTCATTTAATCTCTTTAAATAGAGAACTCTTGTACAGTTTTATACACAATAGAATACAATACATTCATACTTTCAAGTTGGTACCAGAGCTTGTGTTCTGGGAAACCCTGCTTCCGCATATCGTGTCGTGCATCATACTGGCAACCTTCCTTTCACACCTAACCCTTATTTAGTCACCAATTTTTTGTCCTCAACCTCGTATCGCCGGAAACCACCATAAAACCACCGTCCGCCACTGTTCACCGCCATCAGACACCTTTTCCGGCCAACCAACACGCGATCAGGAGCGGCTCAGGGAGGCGACCTTGTCTGTGCAAGCCGCGTGGTGATCGGAGCATCCACGCGCCGGTGGAAGTTTCCAGTGGCCGAGTCACTTTTCTGGCACGTGAGCCACCGTCCGGCCACCGTTCCAGGCCAGACCACCACCATCTTGCTCGCCTCCTCGTCCTCTTTCCAGATCTGGTCTCCGTTCGATGTGGGTCCCATCCGTTTGAAAGATATCAGTGAAAAACCCGTTGTTTGGACATCTTTTTGCTACGTTTTTGCGCAATTAGTTCTTTGCTATTTTCTTGTTATCTCCTTTATTTTTTGTGATGGAGAGCTCAAGTAAAGCGCTCGACATCATCTCCAGTACTACCTCATCCATTACATCGATGAAACTAACCGGATCTGTTACTTACAAGACCTGGTCTACCTTCGTTAAGATCTGATTTACAGGTCAGGGACACGGTAAACATCTCACGACAAAATCTGCTGATATTCCAAATGATCAGATTCATGAATGGGAAAAGATTGATGCTCAACTACTAAGTATCCTTTGGCAATCCATTGATCCGGCAGTTATAGACATTTTCATCCCCTTTGAGACCTGCTATGACGTATGGGAGGAAGCCAAAAATCTCTACACCAATGATATTCAGCAGCTTTATTCCATTGTTTCTCAGATAATGGACTTGCGCAAATCACCAGATGCTCGAATGGAGACTTATATTGGTAAGATTCGTTCTTTGATGCAGGAATTCTTAGCTATGTTACCTCATGTTACAGATGCCTCTGCGTACAAGAAGCAGGTGGAGCGCTTCTTTACGATCGTAACCCTTTCCGGACTTTCAGAGGAATTAGAAAGTGTTCGTGAAAATATTCTAACCAGTGCTGTGACTCCTAGCCTGTCACAAACTTTCCAGCGCCTTAGGAATCTCAAGGATATATCCGCAGCACCCACACATGTGCCAGCCACCGATTCAACTGCGTTTGTTTCTCGTGCCAATGATTCCAATTGGAATAGTGGACGCAGTCGCGGACGTGGCCTTGGATAGGGTGTCCGCGGACAGAGGCCTCATTGCAATTATTGTCAGAACCTTGGACATTATGAAGAATGTTGCTATAGGAAGTACCCTCACTTGAAGCCATCAATTGTCAACTTTGCTCAGACTGATGTTACATCACCTTCTACTGGATCAGTAACTCTTTCGAATGCTGACTATGAGGCATTTCTCAAGAAGGTTTTTTCTCAGTCTCTTCCTCAAGACACTGATAATCATGTTGCTTGTCTTTCTCAATCATCTCTTGGACCTTGGATAATAGACTCAGGTGCTACTAATCACCTTTGTGGTAATAAGGATATCTTTACTTCACTTTCTTATTCTAATAATCTACCTTCTGTTACTCTTGCTGATGGCACTAAGGTCCCTGCTCTTGGAATTGGGCAAGCCAACCCAACTCCCTTTTTGACTTTGACCTCTGTTTATTATATACCTGGCATTCTTTTCAATTTAATCTCTGTTAGCCAGCTGATTCATTCTCTTTCATGCACTATTACCTTCTCTAAACAAACTTTTTCTATGCAGGATCCGGGTACAGGGAAGACGATTGGAGCTGGCAATGAGTCACGAGGTCTCTACTATCTGACTACACCACCTTCTCCAGTGGCGTGCTCTCTCACAGAGTCTCCTGAATTAATCCACAGTCGTCTAGGTCATCCAAGTCTTCCTAAGCTTCAACATGTGGTTCCTTTTTTATCCAGTCTTAAGTCTTTAAACTGTCAGTCTTGTCAGCCAGGAAAGCATACTCACTCCTCCTTTGCTAATAAAGTCAATAAAAGAGCTGATGCTCCATTTTCTATTGTTCATTCTTGTAGAAAATTAGAATTCAAACATGTTTCCGTTTTTATTTCCTATTAATTAGGATTGATTATGATTGATTAGGATTGATTATGATTGATTAGGATTAATTGTGATTGATTAGAATTGATTGTGATTAGGATTGTGATAGGATTGATTAGTCATCGCTTAGTCATTCTTAGCGATTCTTTCGTGTATAAATACTCACTCATGTAATTTATTCAATATCAATATACAAAAACTTCTTTTCAATATGGTATCAGAGCGGGTTCGTTCCTACCCTAATTCAAATCTGAAATAACCATCCAAACACTTCCATCACCGTCAAACACCTCCTAAACACCGCCTTGAATCTGTCCAACACAGAAACCTAGTTTACTGATCTCCGATCAAAAAAGTGAGGTGACCATTCGACTCAGAAGGATCCGACGAGTCGACCGCCGCTGGACCCATCGCCGTCAGCCGCTGCACGCGCCACCACGCGCCGCCTTCCAGACGTTTTTTTTCCGTCGCGACTTGCACAGACCTTCTCGCCGGCTTCTCCCCTTCCTGTTCCAGAGGTCAGATCAAAAGTTTACAAAACTTGATTTTTCATCAACGGTCAACCCTTCTCTTTTTATTCATGGCTTCCTCAAAACACTCTTTTTATTACCACGAGCAACCTCCTAAGGCCACTAGTCATGTGGTCCAGCAAGGTACAACTTTCCATGTTGATAGTCAAAATCATTGGATCCTTGATTCTGGAGCCTCTGATCATATGACAGGTAATCTTGGCTTGTTTTGTTCATACACTCCATATTCTGAACCTTCTCGGGTCAAGATCGCCGATGGCAGTTTTTCCCAGATTGCGGGACACGGAACCATTAAACTTTCTGAGCTGATTACTTTGACATCAGTTCTTTATGTTCCTTCTCTGACTTGTAATCTCATTTCCATTAGCAAGCTCACCTCTGAGTTGCATTGCTTTGCTAAATTCTTTCCACATGGTTGTGTTTTTCAGGAACAGGACTCGGAGAGGATGATTGGCAGTGCTAGAGAGGATGGTGGACTTTACTACTTTGAGGAGGATGTGACTCATGAAGCTGTTTTCGTAGAAAAAAACTCTATGTTTCCTTTTGATTCATGTAATGATGTTATGTTGTGGCATCGTAGGCTAGGCCATCCAAATTTTATTTATCTTCAGAAGTTGTTGCCAAACTTATTTATTAATAAAAGTCCAAGTTTGTTTTCTTGTGATATTTGTCAACTTGTCAAGCATACTCGTGCTCATTATCCTTCTAAAGTTCACCATGACTCTTCCCCATTTTCCTTAATTCATAGCGACATATGGGGTCCAGCCCGTGTTAAAAATATTTCAGGTACTCGATGGTTCATTACCTTCATTGATGACCATTCTCGAGTTTGTTGGGTGTATCTTCTAAAGGATAAGTCCGATGCTGCATCCGTGTTTAAAAAATTTCATGCCATGGTTCAAACCCAATTCCAAGTTGCTATACAAATTCTTCGTACAGATAATGGCAAAGAGTATTTTAACTCTATTCTTGGAGAATATCTTTCCCAACATGGCATCCTTCACCAAAGCTCGTGTCCTGACACACCCCAACAAAACGGAGTTGCGGAAAGAAAAAACCGACATCTCCTTGAAGTTGCTCGGGCTCTTATGTTTACCACGAGTGTTCCTAAATATCTTTGGGGAGAGGCAGTTCTCACTGCCTCGTATCTGATAAATTGAATGCCATCTCGCATTCTGAAATTTCAGTCTCCTCTTTCTAGTCTTGTTCGTATCTTCCCTTCCTTCCGAGGTGTCTCCTCCTTACCTCTCAAGTTATTTGGTTGTGTTGTATTTGTCCATATTCCCTCCCATCAACGGTCTAAGCTTGATCCTAAGTCTCTCCAGTGTGTCTTTATTGGTTATTCTCCTACTCAACGTGGCTATAAGTGTTATTCACCCTCTCTTCGTAAGGTCTTTGTCTCTATGGATGTCACTTTTTCTGAGAATGACCCTTTCTTCCCCTCGACTTCTCTTCAGGGGGAGTCTATAGGAGTAGATGAAGATCAGTCATGGGAACCTATTAATGCCACAGTATTACCTCTACTTTTGGAAACAGGGGGAGCTACAGAATCCTCACTATCAGGAGCCTCCTCAAAATGGGGACAAGTTTATAGCAGGCGAAAGCCTCCTCAAAGTGTGAATAACCCAGAGCCTCTACACTGCCAGGATTCTGAACCATGTTCTAGTTCCAGCACCCCAATACTTGAGTGTCATGGTGAAAATGATCTACACTTGCCCATTGCTCTCAGAAAAGGTACTCGATCTTGTACTACTCATCCTATTTCTAATCATATTTCATATGGAAAGTTGTCCCTAGGGTTTCGTGCTTTCAATACTATGTTGGATAGTACAAAGATACCGAGAAATATACATGAGGCTTTCAATGATAAAAAATGGAGGGATGCTGTCTTTGAAGAAATGAA